CGCAGCCGTCGGTGTTGGGCCCACACCTGGCTCAGCCCGTGAGCGGCCAGTCTGTATGTGGGATCCAAACCCTCGGCGGGAGCGCTGCCGCGCTCCCAAGTGGCGCACTGTAGCAGTGCGCCACCGGGCCGGCCCTACCCATATTCTGATTACCTTATTTTGGTTACAACCATTGATTGTGCCTCTTTATCTCCTATGGTTCACAGATACCTTCTATAACCTTTCTCTCATTCTTTCTTTCACTACGCTTGCTAAAAATATTTTCATCTAGTATATCAATTCTTTTCCAACTTTGACATTTGCTTCCTTGCAGGATGCCTCAGCCAGAAACACCCTCTTCATCACTGCTTGATAATTACTTTGTCTAATATGACCCAGTCCTCTTCTGCTGAGATAACAAGACATAGAAAATCTGAACCGTCTAGTATTTGCTAAGGAAACTAAATTCAGAACTAAAATCCTTCCCACCAAGAAAACACCAGGTCCAAATAGATGGCTTCATGGTAAATTCAACCAAACATTCAGGGATGAAATAAAATCAATTTTATAAAAACTTTCAGAGAATAAAGGAAGAGAGCATGCTTTTCAACCACACTATGAGACCAGCATAACCATAATACCAAAACATTACAAGAAAGGAAAATCTCAGGACACTATCTGAGGTTCATGCTTGTGAATATGGGTGCACAACCCTAAACAAAATGTAAGCAGTTCAAACCCAATGATATATAAAATACACCACATGGTGCATGTGGGTTTATTCTAAAAATGTAAGATTGGTTTAACATTAGAAAATCAATGTAATTTACCACATTAACAAAATTAAGGAGAAAAATCATCTCGATAAATAACAAATTTGATGAAATTCAACATGTGAAAGATAAAAACTCTCTGTAAACCAGGAGGTCTTACCAGTGTATCAGACAAGAAAAAGGAAAATGTACAGTATAAAGATGGGAAAGAAATAAACTGCCATTATTCCCAAAGGATATGGTTATATATACAGACCATCCAAAACAATCTATAAAATATTTGAGTTAATGAATTTAGTGAGATTATTGACTACAAAACTAATAGCAGTACTATTTATAACATCAAAAACATCAAATATCCAGGACTAAATCTAACAAAAGATTTATAAAATCTCTACTATACTATAAAATACTGCTAAGAAAAAGTAAAAAGGACCTAAATAATTGGAGAAAAACAACATGTTCATGGACTGGCTAAAAGACTCAATTTTAATTTTCCTAAATTGATCTGTAAATTTTTTGATTCTAAAATTAATAAGAAAATGCAAAGAAGATCCAATATAATCTTAAGAATAACCAAATCAAAAAATTTAGATTACAGAAATCAACACATAAAGTTATAATTAAGAAAGTGTAGTATTGGCACAAGGACAGACAAGATCAATAAAAGAGAAGAGTCTAGACATACATCTACACATATATGGTCACCTAATATGTAATAATAAAGTGCCAATGCAATTCAGTGGCAGAAATGATGATCTTTTCAATGAATAGTGTTGCATCAACTGGATATCTGTATGAAAAAAAAAATCTCACATTACATGCAAAAACTAAATATGAATGAATCAAGCCTAAAAGTGAATGGTGAAACAATAAAGCTTCTACAGGTCCCTTATGACCTTGGGCTAGGATAAGATATCAATGGGTCACTAAAAGCACAAACCATGAAAGAAAATATCGATAAACCAACTTGATTAAAATTTTAAAAAATTATTCATCAAAAAGCACCATTAATGGGGGAAAAGGGAAAAAACAAACTTAGTGAAGACATCTGCAATGGATATAAATGATTAAAGAATTATTTCTTAAATACATAAATTTTCCTTCAAATTATTAAGAAAAGGACAGACAAAACCAATAGAAAAATGTAAAAAGAATTTAATGGACATTGCACATATGACTGTCAAAACAATAAGTACATGCAAAGGTGCTGAATTTCATTAGTCATCAGAAAAAACTTGCAATAAATAATAAATACAAAATTAGCAATAAAATCATGATATAACTCTACAAATACTCATAATACACATAATTAAAAAGACTGATAATACCAAGAGTTGGTGAGGATGTAGAAAAACTGGAGTATAAATTATTTCCAAT